CAGCCGTCCCTCGGAAATAAGGTCGGGCGGGTCATTCGGGTCGCGGCAAAGGAGCCGCGGGCCGCCGCGCCGCGCACCAACACAACCCTCTTAACTTGCAAAGTCAGCTCCGGGCAGCGAGGCACGCCGTGCCGTGCCGTGCCATGCCGCGCCAGGGACGCGCTGCCGCTCCGCGGTGCTCCACGGGGAATCCGACGCAAGCCAGTCTGCGGGATCCAAGGAAGGAATCCCTTGCAAGAGACGGCGTTACCGCGGGTAATCCACGAGGACAGCCGGGGACGGACCCCGCCGGGGCCCAGCCAGCCGGGGCCCAGCCAGCCGGGGCCCAGCCCGCCGGGGCCCAGCCCGCCGGGGCCACGCCGCCCGCATTCCGAAAAGAGACCCGTCCCTTCCCCGGCAGGATTCCGTGCCGGACCGGACCCTGGCCTGCTTCTCGCGCCGTGCAGACAAGTCAACGGAAAGGACCTCTGCCGTGCGCATGCTTTGTGCCGGATCACAGAGAGCGAGGCGACGTCGCTGGCGATTTTACACCCAGGCACCCCCGGCCAGCGTGTCCTCTCGCAGCAACCACACCACGCCAACAAACGCAACGATCTTGGCGAGAAAAAAAAGGAGCAGGGGGTGGTAGTCGAACCCATGACTTCAGCGCCAGTAGCAAACGCGCTGCCCCCTGCGCTGCCGTTTCGCCGAGGGGGTAACGACTTCGTGAATCCGGCTGACAGTAAATTGGTAATCCGTAATCCGGATAACCCGAAATTTTGAGGTAATCCGGGGTAATCCGGGAAAATTTTTAGGTAATCCGGGGTAATCCTGAGGTAATCCAGGATTTTTTTGTTGTAATCCGGAGGTAATTTGGGGGTAATCCGAGGTAATCCGGGGTAATCCGTAATCCGGCTGACACGAAATTTACCAGTCGTTACCCCCTCGCGTTTCGCAGAAACGCACCGATCCCCCCTTCACCGTGTTTGCCTCCCACGTGTTGCGCCGTACATCTCCGTGATTGTCCCGCTGCTTCCGGTCGACGGTGGCTGCGGGGCGAGGCAAGGCGAGGCGCTGCGAAGGGGTTGGATTTGATTGATATCCGGCGATGCAAGCGTCGCGCGGCCCGCCTCGGCACGGCTCGGCACGGCTCGGCTCGGTCGCGCGCACAAAGGCGTGCTCTCCTTATTTTCCGGTGACTCCCTTCGGCGATTGGCCCAGGGCCCGCCGGCCCCGCCAGTGCCCCAGTCAGCCCGGCCCCCTCACGGAAGGCCACGCCCGGGAACGCCTTTGAGGAGTTGTTTTCCCCGGCGATTTCGCGACGCGGCGCCGACTCGCCGACTTGAAACGGCTCGTGCCGACGCCGAGGTCGGCTGGGTGCCTTGTCGGCGCCGTGCATCGTTGCCGCACCTTGACGCACAGTGGGCCAGAAGACCGGTGGAGGCGGTCAAAACCCTGGGACGCGTTTTGAGCTCCAGAGTCGCTAAACGGGACTCGAACCGAACGTGTGACCCCACCAATGGATTCCTCGTTCGGAGAGCAATCCATTGGTGGGGTCACACGTTCGGTTCGAGTCCCATTCAGCGACTCTGGAGCTCGAAACGCGTCTAGAGTTTTGGCCGAGGGGTTACCCACTCCGGGTTGCGCAGCGCCGGCAGGCGCCCGGGCGTGATGCGTTATCAGTTCGAAAGTGAAACAAAACCGCGGCCACAGCCAGGCCGAAACAGAGCCCGGCGTCTCCCAGCCATCCAGGACGACCGCGGCCGCACACACGGCTGGCAGCAGCGGATACGGGACTCCAGCCAGACCCATTCCGAGAGGCGCATTCGTCGCTCTGTCTCGCTCGCACTCATGGGGCGTCCCGTGTAGGTGCGAGAGAGACGGAGCGACGAAAGCGACTCTCAGTCTGCAGCAGCGCGGCGGCGCGGCGGCGCGGCGGCGAGGCCACGGCACCCAGCGGGCCCACCCATCATGGACCGGCCAGGCAGGCCAGGCCCACAGGGCTGATAACTGGCCCTTGTTTTTACAAACAAGGAGAAAGGGACACACTACTATCAACCGGCAACAGCAGCCAGTCCACCCACCGCCGCACAGTGGGTCAGAAGACCGGTGGAGGCGGACAAAACTCTGGACACGTTTTGAGCTGCAGAGTCGCTAAACAGGACTCGAGCCGAGCGTGTGACCCCACCTTTGGACTCACCGTTCAGAGAGCGATCCATGGGTGGGGTCACACGTTCGGTTCGAGCCCCGAGTATTACTCCAAGGTCCGCCACGGGGCCCGTGCGGCCACGCCCTTGCAGGGAACGAATCGAAACTTTTTGCCGAAAATACAACAATCACAGGCACTGACACACTCTGAGGATCCTTAAACTAAGTCTTATCCTAATGAAAACTGTGAATGAAATCACCTTACAGAACTCATACACTAATGACCAAAAAAAACCTCTGCTGGAAGCTACGCTACAGCTCAGGGCAAGGTCAAGCTGGGCTTTAGTTGTTGATTGAGAAAGGAAATCGTGAATCAGACCGGAACTCAAATTAGAGGCTTGACTCAGGCCGAGCTCATCACGAACTCTTGCTCTGCGACCCTAAACAAATACTGTCACCGTTTGCAAGGCGCACATTCACTCAAGTCTCCGATCCATTGGCCGTCGTAAAAATTGGGGACGTGCTGAGCGCCGTTTATGACGGCCCGAACAGTGGCCGCGACGCCGCGACGGCGCGGCCGAGGGGGAGGGGGGGCCGTCGGGCCTGTCGCGCCGCGCGGCACTGTGCGCGGGAGGGGCCGGCCGGAGGGGTCACGCGGGCCGCGGGCCGTACGAGGGCATTTATGGTGCAAGCTGCACCTAAAGGAACTGTCGACCTGCTCAGCTTTCTTGCTGCCCTGGTAGGTTTAAGGTTTAAGGATGGACGTTCAACAAACGGCTCTGTCAAGCATGAGCCTCTCACTGTTACTTAGTGAGGGAAGCACCGACACTCGAGTGGAGTTGAGTGTGTCACCGAGCGCAGCCAGGCCCCTGCAGGGCTCTGGAAGCGAACCGACGGAGGAGCTCCGCGTCCCCGGGGGCGCACAGTGGGCCAGAAGACCGGTGGAGGCGGCCAAAACTCTAGACGCGTTTTGAGCTCCAGAGTCGCTAAATAGGAGTCCGTACCAATGGATTGCTCTTCGAACGAGGAATCCATCGGTGGGTTCAGTCACACGTTCGGTTCGAGGCCTGATTAGCGGCTCTGGAGCTTTGGCCGCCTCCACCGTTCTTCTGACCCACTGTGGGGCGTCGCCGGGGAGGCCGTGACAAAAGCAGTGCTGGCCGCCACCAAGCTCGGCACCGCGCAGCCTTGCCACGGGTCGGCCAGAACAGCGTAGGCCAGCCCGCTCAACAGGCCGTCTCCGAAAGGGCCAAAGGCACGTCTATAATGGATTTAAACTAAATTATAGAGGTTCTGGCCGGGATGCGGCCGCGCTTAAGTTAAGTTAAAGTGGAGAGAGAACGCCGCCGTGAACTACCAGTTCGACTAGTTCGCCCTGCGTTTGTTTTTGTGTGTCTGCACGCCGCATTCGCTCGCGTGGGTGCACTGCACCGCACTGCACGCGCGCTGCCCTGCTCCGAGAATCGGACGGTACACAGTGGGCCAGAAGCCGGTGGAGGCAGACAAAACTCCAGACGCGTTTTGAGCTCCAGAGTCGCTAAATGGGACTCGAACCGAACTTGTGACCGAACTTGCGCTGCGAGTGAGCGCCCCGTCACGTGCTGGTGTATCACCGACATGACCGGGCGGGCCCGAAAGGCAGACGATCACTTCACTTGTGGTCGCAATCGCCCAGCGGGGTAGGCAGTGCGCCTCGCAGACGTGTGCGCTAGCTGCCTACGCTGCAGGCTGACCGGCTGGGACGGTGGAGGCGGTCAAAAGCCCGGACGCGTTTTCAGCTCCAGAGTCGCTGAACGGGACTCGAACCGAACGTGTGACCCCCACAAATGGATTGATCTCCGAACGAGGAATCCATTGGTGGGGTCACACGTTCGGTTCGAGCCTTCGAGCCGGTCGAGCCGGGGGAATTATAGACCGGCAGCGCGGCGCGCGGCGCTGTTGGCTGTTTGCGGGGAGCGAGTTAAATTTCGAGGCGCGTTTTGAGCTCCAGAGTCGCTAAATGGGAGTCCGTACCAATGGCTGTTGGGCTAGTTGGACTGCATACTCTTAAATGACTATGCGGAGCCATGACAGGGAAAGACCTTTATGATGCATTTAATCGCATTAATTAATTAATGCATTTAATCAAATTATGAAATAAACAAACATTTAAAAACTGTTACAAGCATTCCTTCAAATATTGATGCAGTTTCGCAGGCTCCAGCTTTCCAAGAAAATACTGAATATATCTAACAGCAGCCCCTTCACAGACAATGCAAGCTGGTTTCTTCCCGTGCTGGCACAGAAAATCAACAAGAGGGACGTGCTGAACCATATTGCAGTTGAAATCGTGATGCACAGGGCAGGTCCTTGCTACATGACACAGCGCAGATTTATCGGAAAGTTAAGTATGGATATGCATTGCGTTACTTAAGTCTGTGACGCCTTTCATGTCACTTTCATTTGAATTGAGTTCATTAAATAATATTTATTGCAATATTTTATGACAGGTGACATGAAAAGACCCAATTAAAAGAAGGCTGATTAAAGCCAGTTTACGAGACAAAGTATAATGCGAGATGACTAATCTCAGGAGAGAGCGAGTGCAGATGTATCAGAGTTCTCTACCGGAGCAAAACAACAAGATTAGTTGGAGATATTGCTAGAGTATATAATGTTGGCGCTACCGGGTACGAATTGACGATTTTTTCTGAAATGCCCTAGCCACATAGATCAGTTTTTGCACCAGTCGCGTCACCTAGATACGCGCCTTAACCTCTATAACACCTCTAAAACGGTACTTTTGGAAACTTCATAGGCTTAGCCGTCGCGCCCAGGTACTTTTGGAAACTTCATAGGCTTAGCCGTCGCGCCCAGCTTCGAGATATACTCACATTACGAATGATGAATGACTCGAATCAGCGCGGCGCTTCTAGAGCACAATGTAGAACGATCAGAACGAAACGAATTTTCAAACTACCGCACTCTTGCAGAACGCCAACCTAACAAGGCTAGGCCTCTAGGGCAGGCTCACCGCCTTGTAGGGAAGGCGTTCGCCGCTGAACCAGTTCCCAAAATCGTCTTATTTTGACGGGCTTTAATCATGAAAATAATCTTCGTTTTATTTTAACCAGTAATAAATTTTGGCAGAAAAACGCAGCGCAGGTAGTTAATAAGCCCCGTTTTCATACCGTATGTCTACGTTGGCTGTTCTGGCCGCTTCTTCCTTTCTTCTTCTGCTTTTGCGCCCCGTTTGCCGTTTGCGTCATTACGTACTGTTTACTGTTGTTATTATACATTGTCAGAGTATTTATATCTGTTTTAATGATTGTAATGTCTAAAGAAAGTGAAGAGCATATCTTCAAAGTTCCCAACATGCCAATTAGAAGCACAGGTAAAAGATACTTTTTTCCGCCTGAGTTTGGTGTTGTTGTCTGCTAACCCTGACACCACACATGCCTTTTAACCCTGAGTTAAAAAAAAGAATTGACTTTGACGCAACAGAGCAATAGCTTTTGTTTGAGCTTAATCTATGTCTTTATCTTCCAGCTGCTCGTAAGCGACGAAGAGGTTATGAAACAACTGAAGCTGTTAAAAGAGCGAAGCTCTGTGGAGGTCTGTATTCAACTTCCTTTAATCAGAATTGGCCTTTTTACTCGTTCTTTCCCCGTTTTGCAACGGTATTAGGAATAAGAAACGAGTCTTTTCCTTTCATCGCATATACGTGTACATGTGTGTGATGAGATGTTCTAACCAACCGAGAGTTTGTACCCGACTGGACTTTTTTTCAACTTAGTAGAATCCTTTAAACAAAATACTGGAAGTGTACTTAAGAGCATTGAGATTCGCTGATTAAGCCAGGAATCAAGCCCCATGTCGGTTTCTTACTATTAAATTATTCTCTAAACGTGTATACTGAGTTGAACATCTCTTCACTCAATAACGTGGTAACGAACGAGACCCACTTTTATACCTCCAATGTGCTACATGTTTGGTTTTGTTAATCGTTTGCAATGTTTCTGTCATTCCAGAGAAAAAAGACATTCTATTGAGAACTCCTTGTGTTGTTGGTACAGCAAGTCCATGCAATGTGAGGATTGGGCCCGACCAAAGATTACATCCAGTTCACCTCATCGTTGTAGAACAGCTTGTGGAAGACAGTTTGTCCCAATTGGTGCTAATCAACCAGCTCTCACCCCATTCATATGTCAACTACATCAAGATCAAGCCCTTATCCAAAACTTGTTTGAAGAATAATGACATTGTCAGTGTAGGCTATGCAAATTGGAAAGGTAAGAGACCAGCACCTGTGACAGAAGTACTGTGCCGTTATGCTTCTAGAAACTTTGTTTATTTAATTTGAATGGTTTCTGTTGTTTTTTTTTAGTTTTGAAAGTGGAGAACAATCAGTTGATGGGCATTAGTATGTGAATGAAATATAGATATAATCGATGTTATCAATTTACCAGCCACCCACAAAGATATATTTAAGGAATCAATTTACCAGTCACCCACAAGATTTATTAAAAGAATTAGTCAAATAATTTGTTAATCAACTCTCTTGGCAACTTTATTTCTTGCAACAAGTCCTAACCTAACCACCCGGCGCCCAGCAGCGAGGGCTTCGAGACGCCGCTTCTCGACGGACGGCGCGGTGCCGTTCCTGGACAGTGCGGACAGCGAGGCAGTGCTGTGCCCCTTCGTACTGGACGAGCTAGGGGCCACCGTCAAGGCCAGTCCCCGTGCCTGGCGGGGTCCTGGAGTCTGAGACCGCCGTGGTCCTTCGGCAACACCAGCAGACTGATTCCGAGAATCGTTTTCGCCGCTCTTTCTCGTTCTCATAGGGCGTCCCTCATGGTCCCTTATGGGTGCGAGAGAGACAGAGCGACGAAAACGTCTCTCGGAATCAGTCTGCAGGGGTCGAAGGGGACCCGCACCGGCTTGGTGAGCCACATGGCCAAGGCGGCAGCACGTAGATGTTGAGGTACTGCACGCGCATGTGAGTACCAGGGGTTAAAAGAAACATTTAAAACATGAATAAAATGACCAAAGGTACATCTGAATTAATTATAAAACAAGGCTAAAAACTGGATTTGAGAAGCTTAGTGGACATTAAAAGAAAGGACTGAATAAAAGAACATAATACAAGAAATAAAATTGATCAAAATGGGAAACGTAACTCAGAGCCGCAGCGCCGCTACTCCCTGCGGCGGCTGACGTCCCGCCTCGTCGCTACCCCGCGCGCTGCTCGGGGTTCGAAGCAGACGCCGCGCTGCGCCGCTACTCCGCGCGCCGCTCGGTAGCCCAGCACTAGCACCCGACGCGACGGCCCGGTGCCTGTTGGGCACCTCTATAACTAGATTAATTTATTATAGAGGCCTTTCCCCGGGCAACCTTATTAACACTATAGTGCGCAGTCTCTCGCCGGCCGGTCTTGACCACGCCCCGAAACACCTTACGAAACGGTGTCCCTCCGCCCTCGCTGGGGGTGTCGTTGGAGTTGGCGGGGACGTCGGTAGATGGCGCTGCGGGCGCAGCGGGGGCGGCCTCTCGCGGCTGCCGGTTACAGCGTCGATTTATGAGTAGTGGCGCCCGCTTCAACGCTAGTGTATCAGCAGCAGCTTGAGCAAGCCATATGATTTAAATTTTTGAAGGGGGAAGACCCATGAGAGTTTCTTCCCCTAATCGGTACCGCTATTCTCTTCAATCATTAAAGATGCCCATGGATGTGCAACTACACGTGCATGGCGTGTTGCTGGAGGTGCTGGAGGGAAGACGCGCGCCGCTCTTAATGACGTCATCACCGACGAGCCGGTCTCCGCGGTGTACGTGGGGCGTGCCGCCCGGCGCGCTTGGCGCCGCCCCGTGAGTGCGAGAGAGACGAAGTGGTGAGCGCGCTGCTCCGAATGAGGCTGGCAGCCCTGGCGATTGCCACCCTGCAGACTGCCAGGCCGCCAGGCAGGCCAGGCTTGCCACCGCGGCCGCTATCTAGACTCGCGACGCTTCCTGATAACGGCCGGGCCCCGCCGCGCCGCGCCCCACCACGCCGCCAGCCAGCCTTGTCGCGGCCCCTATGCCGGGGGAGTCGCCCTCACTCTTCACCCGCTCCGCCATGTTGTTGTTGTTTGGGAAAGAAGGCAAAGGGATGCGTCATTCCCCTGACGGCCCTTGTTTGCGAAGTCAAGCCCGTGATTCAACAAACGCGTAGCGCCCTGTCACTTGACCGACGCTGTCCGACGACCATTTCTCTGGCCGGGTGGAGGATTCCTTGACGATCCCCGCCGCCGCGCGTCACCTCTAGACTGTTTCTTGTCTACACACACTGTGTGGGTGGTGGTGGGTGCCCCTGCGGCCTGCGGGCCACGCCGCTGAGTCCTGGGGGGCGCTTGCCGCCGCCGGCCCTGCGACGCGGTAACGCGGTGTCCCGGTGTCGACGCGGTGGTGTCCTTGTCGAGCTTCTTTATGTTCTTCACACACGGCCACTAATGGGGCTGCGCGAGGCGGGAGGGGTGGGGCAGGGGGAGGGGAGGGCACACCTGAGGGCGTGAAGCGGGTGTGCGAGGACGGCGACGCAGACGCAACGACACGGGGGCGCCGCCGCCGGTTGCCGGCGGCGGACTGATTCCGGACTCTGGCTCTGTCGCTCTGTCTCTCTCGCACCCCTACGGGCCGCCCCATGAGCGCGAGAGGGACATTCGAAATCAGCCCAGCCGCAGCCCCGCCAGTCGGGAGCCCCATGATAATGCATATGCATGCATTGCGCGCCCCACCAGCACGCGGGGACCAGGCCTTAGGGCCAGGGCTGAGGCCCCCCGCCCCTCCCCCTCCCCCTGGCCGGGTCGCGCCGTCCCAACTTCGCGCACCACGTCTGAACAACGACAGGCAGGGACCCCCGGCGCCGCGCCGCGTGTCTCCGCACCATGGCCGCACCGCCGCCGTCGAACCGTCGAACGCGAGGATGGACCGGGAAAAACGCCCGGCAAGCAAAGACAGCCTTGACGACGGAGTGACGGAGCGCGGCGGCGGTCATGCCGGTGCACGGGGAACACAGGGAAGTGCACCGAAGTACACAGTGGTACACTCCAACGGCAGCAGCGGGGTGTTCTCTAGAAGTACACTCTTTGGAGGAAATATCCGGATCTGTTCTAAGTATGCACTCCGTACGCACACGGCGGTGGAACCCCTTAGGCCGCCTCTTATTCCTAGAGCGCACTCTTCTTTGTCGCGCCCCCAGCTGTTTAAAACGGGGCCTCTCCGAAAAAACGGGGCGAAGGGGCGTGGGGAGTCGAACCGCGGCCGTCGCATCGAAAAAGCGAGGCGTTCGCCACCGCCGCGCCGCGGCCGCGCCCCCCGACATGACAACGCTAAACTCGCTGCCACCCGCCCCGCCCCGCCCCACCCCACTCCGCCACCGCGGGCCCCACCGCCCCACCTCTGCGCCGGGGGGCCGCGGAGGCCGCGGGGCCGCGCGCAGGGCAAGCAGGATGTCGCTGTGTAGGGGTAACGGGAACGGGGTGGCTCGAGGCTCGACTCGAGGCTCGACGAGGCGCGGCGAGTCAATAGCGCTGACGCGGCCGAAGGACTTCCTCGTCGACGTCGTCGTCGTCGTCGTCGTCAATGCCGAGCGGAAGGAGGCTTCAGTCGCGGCGCCACAGTGGGCCAGAAGACCGGTGGAGGCGGCCGCGGCCACAGTTTGAGACGCGTTTTGAGCTCCAGAGTCGCTGAACAGAACAGGACTCGAAGCGAACGTGTGACCCCACCAATGGATTGCTCTGCGAACAAGGAATCTTTTGGTGGGGTCACACGTTTCGGCCGAGTCCCAGAGCGACCCTGGGGCTCTAAACGCGCCCGCAATTTTGACCGCCCCCACCGGTCTTCTGGCCCACTGTGGGCGCCCCGCTGCTGGACGACAACGCCGTCAAGTCCGAGGGGGCGCTGCCAAAACCACCGGCGGGCCGAGTGGCGCAAGATCAGACCGATTCCGAAGACTCCGCCGCCGTCTCTGTCGCACTCGCGCAGCTTCCCGCATGGGTGCGAGAGAGACAGAGCGACGAGCATCGAATCGCTGCCGGCCTGGCGGCAGTGCAGCCCCCGGCCACATGTCGAGGCGGACAGGCGGATACAGAGACGCCTTTCATGGCGTCCTGGCGGCCACGTGGGGCGACATGCCCCGCAGGGCGAGGGCGGCGCGCCGCCATGTCGGGGCCGCGGGGTGCCCGTCGACGCCCTCCCCGGCCGCCAGCACGCGGACAAGTGCAAAATGGCGGCCGCTGACCAACCCGCCGCGGCGCCACCCCTTGCCACCCACGGACGGCGCCGGGTCGATAACCACCCCGCGGCGCCGCGGCCGCCAATGGAGCGTCGCGACGCCCGCCGCCACCGCGAGCCAATCACAGACCGCGGCGTCCATGCTGCCCAGGGGCGCTTTGTTCGGACGCCGACAGCTAGGCGCCTTTCGCGGGTTCGAATCCCGCAGGCGCCAAAGTGACAGTGTCGGCGTCTTGTTTTCAGGGCTGCCACGCTGCCGCGCCACTGCGCGTGAATGCCTGACTGCCTGACCCACTGCAGTGACAGGCTGGGCCACAGGCTGGGCCACAGGCTGGGCCACAGGCTGGGCCGGCCGTGTTCAAACACTGATAAACCTCCTCCGCCTTTCCGCAGACCTGACTGACCACCAGCAGGCCGCTTCCGAACGGCGACGCTCCGTCTCTCTCGCACTCGCGGGGCGCGCCGTCGGGGCGCGAGGGAGACAGCGCGACCGAACCACTGTTCGGCCAGGCTGCCGGCCAGGGCACAGTCCTCGCTCGCCACGCCTTGAACACACGCCTGCCCGGCCTGCCCCGTGTGCAAAGGCCAGCGGGCTCATTCCGGCGTCTGTCTCTCTCGCACCCCCGCGGCCCTACGGGACACCCCGTGAGTGCGAGCGAGACGGAGCGACAGCCTGCAGGCCACTTGTTGACTTCCGCTTGCCGCTGCCGCCGCGACGCCAAGGATCCCAGCCGAACGCGAACGATTCGCAGCGCAACACTCCTCGCCCTAAAGTCCCAGGCCGACCTGGCCGTCGCGCTTACAGTGTGCAGGTGGAGCGGCGCGGACACTCCAGTGGCGTGACGCTGCGCATCCACCTGTGGAAATGACGGCGATAAACCACCCCTCGCGGCCCTGGCGGCCCTCACGCATAAGCAGGGCGAGGGTGTACGTGTGTGTGCGTGTGTGTGTTCGTGTGTATGGGAGCGTGACAAGGGAGGGGGACTCCGCGTGATTCGGAATCTCAATGTAAATGGTTGGCGCACAGGAAGCGCGTCCACGCACCGCGCCCTGGCAGTCAGTGCTCCGTCTCTCTCTGTCGCACCAGCAGGGCGGGCAGTGTGGGAGCGAGAGAGACGGACCGATTGGCTGCTGGGGACGCTGAGGCAACGCCACGGCACTGCTTATCTCCCTGGCCGGCCTTCCAGGCCTTCCCTTCTGCAGACTGATTCCGAGAGTCGTTTACATCGTGCCGTCTCTCTCGCACCGCTCCGCGTCGCCCCGTGAGTGCGACAGAGACAGAGCGAAG